TAATAATAATAATAATAATAATAATATTAATAATAATAACGATAATAATAATAATAATAATAATAATAATAATAATAATAATAATAATAATAATAATAATAATAATAATAATAATAATAATAATAATAATAACCATAATAATAATAACAGTAATAATAATAATAATAATAATAATAATAATAATAATAATATCATTAATAATTTCAAATGTGTTGATCGCCACTGATATAATTTGAAACTCTAATTTCATCATGCTAAAAGTCATTGTAAAAGGCCTGTTGGGAGATACAAACTGCACGGTGTCATGTCACAACTAGCGTGTGACAAGACGTTAAATGATCCAGATGCGTGAGATATAACGTGATCTAAGTGTGGCAGCTGCTAAGTCATACATCTCATCACTGGCGGGTGACAGTCGAACGCACGCTGCAATTGTCAGATAGATCTGGGAGCCAAATGATACGTCTGGATGCTGCAGTGGACGAGTGTGCAAGTTATTGATCTTAGATAAGAGCATCCACTTGGCTTTTAGCGGGTTACAGAGAGCGTAAAGATTATTACTGATCGGTGTTTATGAAGAGGGTAATGGTGGAGAGAATGAATTGGTCACCCTTCGAGTTTTCGGCTCTATGTTCATGACACAGTCTCGAAACATCTGACAGCGCCAACATTCACAGTCACAGGATACCGGTCCTTGATACAAACCAGCTAAGAATAGAATGCAATTTAGATGCGAAAAATAAAAAATGCACACTTTGCTCTTTAACTTATACTGACAGCACTAGAACTTAGTATACACTGAGGTCCGTCGTTCGATCCCCGGACACTTGCTGTCCCTGTTCTCCTAGCAGTAAAATAGGTACTTGGGTGTTAGTCAACTGTTTGGGTCGCATCCTGGACAAAATTAACCTAATATGCCCGAAATACTCTGGATAACAAGCGGCTTTCTATATAATAGTAATATGTCATTGATGTCAGCTAGGTCTGTACCTTGTACATGTACTTGTAGAAATAAAGATTATATATACTGTTTACAACTACGTACAAAGGTCCTTTAAAAGTTAAACTTAGCTACAAATATAATTTACAGAGTGAAAAATGAGAACGCTGTCTACTACACCAGTGTTAATACACACACATACACAGAAGCAAATCTGCAGCAAGGTGTTTACCAGCCTGAGGCACGAGAGGGTTTGATTTCTGACATCTTCCTATAAGTGTGTTAACCTTCTCAGACTACCAACCCTCCCTCTGAAACATCAGAAGGCCGCAGCATCTCGTTAACCAGACCAATTTTAGGATAGTCAGCGCACCGCTGGAGGACTCCGACCCACCATCCGCGCTTCCAGCGTTTGAGATGACATGCAGAGTAGTGCAAGACAGGAATACAACACCGACAAGATGAAAGTTAAGACACATGTGCAACATCTGGTTATCTTTATTGTAGACGTTTCGCCATCCAGTGGCTTTATCAATACAGATTCTTGGACATAATTAGAAAACAGAAGAACTATATACAAAAGATGAGGTAATCAGTCCCTCAGCCTTGGGTTTTGTATGGTTTTGTATGGTGCGCGTCCAACACAGGAGGATTTTACCACAGTAGTGACTGTGGTGATTTTTGTTTCCCCAGATTAAGCGCCTTTATACCCGGTGACTACCACAGTAAGGTTCTTATCGTCTGTGCTTATTACAGTGTGTGTTATGTAATGTGTGTGACTTTTGTAATCCACATTTATTGTAATGTAAATTGTAGTCTGCGGCTGTTAGGACGTCTGGTTGTTGTGGTGTGATTGTTGTGTGATTGTTGTGGTGTGATTGTTGTGGTGTGATTGTTGTGTGATTGTTGTGGTGTGATTGTTGTGGTGTGTGATTGTTGTGTGACTGTTGTGGTGTGATTGTTGTAGTGTGATTGTTGTGGTGTGTGATTGTTGTGGTGTGATTGTTGTGTGATTGTTGTGGTGTGATTGTTGTGGTGTGATTGTTGTGTGATTGTTGTGGTGTGATTGTTGTAGTGTGATTGTTGTGGTGTGTGATTGTTGTGGTGTGATTGCTGTGGTGTGATTGTGTGGTGTGATTGTTGTGGTGTGATTGTTGTGGTGTGAGTGTTGTGGTGCGATTGTTGTGGAGTGATTGTTGTGGTGTGATTGCTGTGGTGTGATTGTTGTAGTTGTGGTAGCAGGTCTATAGACTCCGTCATCAAAATCTTAATAATTCTTGCAGACTTTGCTCCTGTCTTCGTGCGTCTGCAACCGAGTCTGGTAATTTTAAGAACTGTCAGTACGTGTGTGGTTTATCTGGGGGACCCCGGGTTCCAATTATTCTGATGACATCCTGATCAAGCAGGTTGTTGCTGCAAGACTTGCATAGCCATTACAGCCAGGCACAGATTGCAAGAACCCGTCCAGTTCTCTCCTGAATATTTCAGAATTGTTCCATCAGTATTTCAAAACTGTTTCATCAGTATTTAAGGATTGTTCCATCAATATTTCAAACCTGTTCCATCAGTATTTCAGAATTGTTCCATCAATTCTTTGGAATTGTTCCATCAATATTTTAGAACTGTACCATCAATATTTGAGGATTGTTCCATGAATATTTTAGGACTATTCCATCATTATATCAGAATAGTTCCACAAAGACATCAATATTTCTCACGTTTTTTGCCAAAGCTGAAAGATTTTCAACGTATGTTTATGGAAGAGTATTTTTTCCATACGACGAATACATACATACACACACACACACACACACACACACACACACACACACACACACACACACACACACACACACACACACACACACACACACACACACACACACACACACACACACACGCACGCACACACACACACACTATGTAACAACAAAATGCAAGGAGGCAGAGGAAAGATTTGTTCCCAAGGGAAACAGAAATAACGGGAAAACCAGAACGAGTCCTTGGTTCACCCAAAGATGCAGGGAGGCAAAAACTAAGTGTAATAGAGAATAGAAAAGGTACAGAAGACAAAGGACCAGGGAAAATAAAGAGATTAGCCGAAGAATCAGAAACGAATATGCACATATGCACAGATAAGAAGGGAGGCTCAGCAACAATACGAAAATGACATAGCATCGAGAATCAAGTCTGACCCGAAGCTGTTGCATAGCCACATCAGGAGGAAAATAACAGTCAAGGACCAGGTAATCAGACTGAGGAAGGGTGATGGGGAATTCACAAGAAACGACCGAGAGGTATGTGAGGAGCTCAACACGAGACTTAATGAAGTATTTACAGTAGAATCCGGTAGGATTCCAGGAAATCAGAACAGGGAGGTACACCAACAAGTGCTGGATAGGTACACATAACCGAGGAGGTGGTGAAGAAGCTGCTAGCTGAACTTGACACCTCAAAAGCGGTGGGACCAGACAACGTCTCTCCGTGGATCCTTAGTGAGGGAGCAGAGATGCTGTGTGCCATTAACAAAGATCTTCAACACATGCATTGAAACTGGGCAACTCCCTGAGGTATGGAAGATGGCAAATGTAGTCCCAGTTTTTAAAAAAGGAGACAGACATGAGGCATTAAACTACAGACCTGTGTCACTAACGTGTATAGTATGCAAAATCATGGAGAAGATCATCAGGATGAGAGTGGTGGAGCATCTGGAAAGAAACAAGTGTATAATCGACAACCAGCACGGTTTCAGGGGAGGAAAATCCATAGTCTGAAAGACTATGGAACAATACCCTTCTCCAGACTGAGGGACTGATCACCTCAAAACTTTGAGGGTGATGGACTGATTACACCGTCTTCAAGTATCTTCTGCTTCTATCAACTTTTCTGTACTCGACTGAAGAAGCCTACTGTGTAGGCGAAACGTTTCGAAATAAAGATACCTAACTGTTGCATATGTGTCTTACCTAACAACCTGTCGGTATTTTATACCATTTGAATGTTCAAACCTACTGGAGTTTTATGACAAGGTGACAGAAGTAAGACAGGAGAGAGAGGGGTGGATAGACTGCATTTTCTTGGACTACAAGAAGGCCTTCAACACAGTTCCTCACAAGGGGTTACTGCAAAAGCTAGAGGATCAGGCACACATAACAGGAAAGGCACTGCAATGGATCAGAGAATACCTGACAGGGAGGCAACAACAAGTCATGGTACGTGACGAGGTGTCAAAGTGGGCGCCTGTGACAAGCAGGGTTCCACAAGGGTCAATCCTAGGACCTGTGCCGTTTTTGATATATGTGAATGACATAACGGAAGGGATAGACTCAGAAGTGTCCTTGTTTGCAGATGATGTGAAGTTAATGAGGAGAATCAAATCGGTCGAGGCTCAGGCAGGACTACAAAGAGACCTGGACAGGCTACAAGCCTGGTCCAGCAACTGGCTTCTTGAATTTAAGGGAAATCGGCCTGACGACACTGGAGGACAGGAGGGTCAGGGGAGACATGATAACGACATATAAAATACTGCGCGGAATAGACAAGGTGGACAAAGACAGGATGTTCCAGAGATGGGACACAGAAACAAGGGGTCACAATTGGAAGTTGAATACTAAGATGAGTCAAAGGGATGTTAGGAAGTATTTCTTCAGTCATAGAGTTATCAGGAAGTGGAATAGCCGAGAAAGTGACGTAGTGGAGGCAGGAACCATACATAGTTTTAAGACGAGGTTTGATAAAGCTCATGGAGCAGGGAGAGGGAGGACCTTGTGGCAATCAGTGAAGAGGCGGGGCCAGGAGCTATGAATCGACCCCTGCAATCACAAATAGGTGAGTACACACACGACGTTATGAAAGCAGGAAAGCACGACATCTCAGCACTATCACCGTCACACGAGAGGTCTAGGAGAAGGAGATGGCTGGTAGAGGTATGGGAGAGGGTGGGAGGTAATGGAAGGGAGTCTTGGGAAAGCGGGAGGGAGTGAGGGAGGGATGGAAGAAAGAGAGCATCGTCTATATATAGCAAGAACTCCCAAAATTTCCCACCAGTCTTCTGCCGGGAGTCGATCAACAGAGACAAGGTAAACAGAAACATGTGTCTTCCCGACCCGCTGTGTCACTATGTGTCATGTGTCCCTATGTGTCACTATGGGTCCATATGTGTCACTGTGTGTCCCTATGTGTCACTATGCTTCCCTATACGTCACTTTGAGTCACTGTGTATCCTTATGTGTCACTATGTGTCAATATGTCACTATGTCACTATGCGTCCCTATGTGTCACTGTGCGTCCCTATACATCACTATGTGTTATTATGCGTCCCTATGTGTCACTATGTGTCCCTATGTGTCACTATGTGTCACTATGTGACACTATGTGTCACTATGATTCACTATGTGTCCCTATGTGTCACTATGTGTCCCTATGTGTCACTATGTGTCCCTATGTGTCACTATGTGTCCCTATGTGTCACTATGTGTCACTATGATTCACTATGTGTCACTATGTGTCACTATGTGTCACTATGATTCACTATGTGTCCCTATGTGTCACTATGTGTCCCTATGTGTCACTATGTGTCCCTATGTGTCACTATGTGTCCCTATGTGTCACTATGTGTCACTATGTGTCACTATGTGTCACTATGATTCACTATGTGTCCCTATGTGTCACTATGTGTCACTATGCACCCCTATGAGTCACTATGTGTCTCTATGTGTTCGGATATGTGTCGCAGTGCTCACTAATCTCGTTGATACCACTGTGTTCAGTACCGAAGGATTCCCTTGGGCAGAAGTATAGAAACGTGTCGCCCGCTCAGCAGGCTTCTTCAGTCGAATATAGAGGTGACTTAATTGAACAGAATAGAAGTGGTGGAGATCAGTCCCTTCTTCGACTGAAGAAGCCTGCTGGGTAGCCGAAACGTTCCGACGACATAGGTACGCAAGTGTCGCATTTGTCTCATCATCTTTTCGGAACAGCAGACCATTAATATAATGATGCATTGTGTCGTAGTAATAATAATAATAATAATAATAATAATAATAATAATAATAATAATAATAATAATAATAATAATAATAAGCAAGGGGCTAATAACCCCTTCTCCTGTATACATTACTAAATTTAAAAAGAAAAACTTTCGTTTTTCTTTTTAGGTTACCCTTCCTGGGTGGGATACGGCCGGTTTGGTAAAAAATATAATAATAACAGCGATACTACTAAGAATAATAATAATAATAATAGTAATAATCGTCTGTCGCACGACTGGTGACGACAAGTGTGGTGTGTTGAACGACACGGAACTGTAGTTGCACAGCCGTGTCTTGCAAGATTACGCTCACATAGCAGGATCTTGCAAGATCATCAACACAGACTCACAAGATGCGTAAAGAAGACACTTTAGAGAGAGAGGGAGAGAGAAACTTATATTTTCGTGGGTGAAAGTTATCAATGTTGAAATGATTTCTTTGCGAGAATATTTCGTCCGTAAAGTGAGTCGTCTTCTGTATCGCCTGCAGATGACTATCTTTTAAACCTGAAGGTTGTTTCAAGTATTGTTTACCCATTTAGAACCATTTATGATTGATCTAATTCCTCTTCTAAGAACGTAAGATCTGTAATGGAAATGTAGCTACCTACCACGACAGGAAAAGAGATTTATAATTATTGAAACGTTTCGCCTCATATAGCCTCTTGCGGGCGAAACGCAGTAATAATAAGGATTCTCCTCTGATTACATTTAAAAAAGTGTATGTGTGTTAGTGTGGTTTTCAGGTTTTTGAGAGACTAAGAGAAGATCATTACGTGTCAAGACGGTGACTCCAGCATCTTCACACTCCAAGACTAGAAAGGTCGATAAATAGCTCAGAGAACCAATTACTTGATAAATTAGACGAATGTGTTGCCCATTTATTTAATTTATCGACTAGGAAGGTCGGAAAGTCGGGTGACAGACGACCATTGATGGTTTTAAAAGGTTTTTATAGTCATCTTGCTGGTGTTGACACATCCAGCCAGTTCTCCCACAACCCGGAAATAACATCCCAAACAATGCGTAAAGAAATGAAAGACTTTGTTTTTGAGTAATGATTTTTTCAGATGTCATTGAGTGAGTGCCTAGTTATCGTGTTGGCACTGGTGGCAGCGGTGGTGTCAGAGCCAACCTTCCGCAGGAGGAGACGACCCAGCATGTGCTACCCCAAGACACAATACGTTACCGAGTACAAGACGGAGTACCAGGATGTGAGTACCGGGCTACTGTCCAGTAGGTCAATACCGGGACACTGCCCAGTAAATCAATACCGGGGCATCTCCTGTTAATTGCCTTGTTAGAGTTTAAAGTCTTCCGATTGGATCATTAAAACTACATATTACATTTACAAATAAAAAAATATTTTAATCTCTAACATACTGATTAAGCTAAATTCTCCCTACAAACACTGACAGATATGTACATCTCGGTGCGCTCAATAATAACCCGCAGGGAGGCAAACTCAGAAGATTAACTGATCTGTATATTTCGACCCCATTCTGGGGTCCTCTTCAGCAGATAAAGAGGATCCTAAAAGGGGGTCGAAATATACGGATCAGTCAACCCCCTGTGTTTCTGTCCCTCTGTAGAGTAATTCTGAACACTGACAAGTGTTCATTACACTGTAGTTATTCATCTCTCGGTGTATATATATACATTACTTCTGGCCTATCCAGCCACTCAGTTTGGTGGATATATACAAGGAATATGATGGATATATTAAAAGTTTTTCACGTGAATGTTCGTTTTATAATTATTATATAATTATTATATAATTATTATATAATTATTATATCATTGTTATATAATTATTATATAATTATTATAATGTTAAAATGTATTGTTTATGTTAATGTGAGACAGAAGATGTGTTAATGTTGATGTTTCTGTCTCCTCAGGTCCCGGTATACACCACTGTGGTTCAGGAACAAATTGTACCAACCACCCTGTACCAGACACAGTACCAGACCCAGTACCAAACCCAGTATGAAACTAAGTACGTGCCCAAATACGTGACTGAGACCATGTACACCACCCAGCTCCAGTACGTGACTAGGTACCAGACTCAGTTCCAAACCCAGTACCAAACCCAGTACCTCACCTCGACCCAATTCGTCCCCAGATACGTGACGGAGACCCAGTACCAGACGCAGTACGTCACCCAGACCAGCTACCAGACCCAGTACAGCACTTCTTACTCGACTGCTTACGTCACCACAACCCAGGTACAATACCAGACCGACTACCAGGTACAAGTGGTCCCACAGTACATAACAGTCACACAGACCCAGCAGTCTTACAAGACCCAGTGTCCCAAGCCCTCATCCTACTACTCATACTGAAGAAGGTCTTCTCTGGATACAGAAGGAGGAACTGTCTGGATACAGCGTCTCTCTGTATCTTCCTCAACATTCATCAACATTTGCATATAAACACATGAATATAAATTTGTTCCAATTTACATTATATATATATATATATATATATATATATATATATATATATATATATATATATATATATATATATATATATATATAAAATCCAGCACATATATGCTCTTTTGAAGATATTGTTATTATTAATTATTATTTTAATTATTATTAATTATTATTTTTAATAATTATTATTATCATTTTTATTATAACAGCCTATAAAAAAAACAAAAAAATCACATATGTTATTGTTATACAAACTTCGTAATAAAACAGGAATATGTTTGTTAGTTTATGATTACCACTGGAAAATAAAAATTATATATATATATATATATATATATATATATATATATATATACAAAAGATAAAAATCTAACCTATTAAGAAAGTCTAGAGGGAAAAAATATGGCGTAAAAGAATGTGATAAGGTAGCAGAGAGAGACTGAGCTAGAAGTCAGCTTCTACACCACAAGACGGGCAGTCAGCAGCAACTTCACTCTGACTGTAACCTTCTCCAGAACATCACTTCATCTGAGATCATTTATTCCCAGGATGACATGAGTCTGGAACATGTTCGTACAGCATTATGATGTCAACGAAATACAGTCAGGTGATCAAGTGTAATCGCTGGCTCACAGCTGGCCCACAGATGGCTCCAACTTCACCCTGCTCACTGTTTGTATGTCTCATAACATTACAAAAACTTTCAAATTAGCCGATGTAGGTAACAGCTCTTAGCTTGTAAATAAAGTTAGAAAACCTTAACCTAACCTTGTAAAACCCTGTGTAAAGATAGAAAGAGAGAGAGGGAGAGAGAGAGAGGGAGAGAGGAGAGAGAGAGAGAGAGAGAGAGAGAGAGAGAGAGAGAGAGAGAGAGGGAGAGAGAGAGAGAGGGAGAGAGAGAGAGAGAGAGAGAGAGAGAGAGAGAGAGAGAGGAGAGAGAGAGAGAGAGGAGAGAGAGAGGAGAGAGAGGAGAGAGAGAGAGAGAGAGAGAGAGAAGAGAGAGAGAGAGAGAGAGAGAGAGAGAGAGGAGAGGAGAGGAGAGAGGAGAGAGGGAGAGAGAGAGAGAGAGAGAGAGAGAGAGAGACAGAGAGATAGAGACAGAGAGATGATATAAGTTATTGTAGCTCAAGAGCTTTATACAAATTTGTTTTTGTATCTCCCAGTGATTTTTTTTTCTTAATAATAACTGGTAGATCCCTCTCACCATTTGATACTTTCACTATTATGTCACACACTTCATATTCTTCACGTGGCCTGATTATCGCTTTCTCCCATTTCCATTACGTGGCATTTTTTCCAGCCTTAAATCTCATCAGTTCTCTGTTGCTTCATCTGCTCAATTTATCCACTTCGCCCAGAAGTGATTCGCGGTCATTACTTTTATTTATTCCACTTGATAATAACTTTTTCGTTATTCGCGAGGAAAGTTTTCCATTTCGTCTGGTAAGTCTTTTGAGAAAGTGATGGAGCAAGTACAGATGCTTGAGGCACCCCACTTGTGACGTCAGCCCACCAGGACGTTTTCCCTCTTGTTATTGTTTACATTTTCCTCTCAGACGTTTGATGTCGTAGTTTACCTGAAATAAATTAAACTATACGTCTTGAATCTGCTTCTTGTTCATTCAGGTTGGTTATGGGGGAGGGGGAGTTCAAGCCTACCTACTACACGAGGGTCATTAGGGCTGCACGTAACCTGTTCACCACTAGTCAGGAACATTTGAATACTTAAAACAGTGATTAACTTCTCAACACACACACACACACACACACACACACACACACACACACACACACACACACACACACACACACACACACCTGGTCCAGCAATTGGCTCCTGGAGTTCAATCCCACCAAGTGCAAAGTCATGAAGATTGGGGAAGGGCAAAGAAGGCCGCAAACGGAGTACAGTCTAGGGGGTCAGAGACTACAAACCTCACTCAAGGAAAAAGATCTTGGGGTGAGTATAACACCAGGCACATCTCCTGAAGCGCACATCAACCAAATAACTGCTGCAGCATATGGGCGCCTAGCAAACCTCAGAACAGCATTCCGACATCTTAATAAGGAATCGTTCAGGACCCTGTACACCGTATACGTTAGGCCCATATTGGAGTATGCGGCACCAGTTTGGAACCCACACCTAGCCAAGCACGTAAAGAAACTAGAGAAAGTGCAAAGGTTTGCAACAAGACTAGTCCCAGAGCTAAGAGGTATGTCCTACGAGGAGAGGTTAAGGGAAATCAACCTGACGACACTGGAGGACAGGAGAGATAGGGGGGACATGATAACGACATACAAAATACTGAGAGGAATTGACAAGGTGGACAAAAACAGGATGTTCCAGAGATTGGACACAGTAACAAGGGGACACAGTTGGAAGCTAAAGACACAGATGAATCACAGGGATGTTAGGAAGTATTTCTTCAGCCACAGAGTAGTCAGTAAGTGGAATAGTTTGGGAAGCGATGTAGTGGAGGCAGGATCCATACATAGCTTTAAGCAGAGGTACGATAAAGCTCACGGCTCAGGGAGAGTGACCTAGTAGCGATCAGTGAAGAGGCGGGGCCAGGAGCTCGGACTCGACCCCCGCAACCTCAACTAGGTGAGTACAACTAGGTGAGTACACCTTACGGAATATACACCATGTATTTATATACATGTTGATAATGTTATTACCTCGTGAAGCAGTGTGTATTATGGTGACAGTTGTCATAATTTATGTGTCTATTTAGTCTCACTTACATCGTACATTAACGTAAATACCTTTACATGTGATAATTAGGTTAATGATGTTCTTGTGACTCTTCAAGTATAATTAGTAGTTAGGTATGATTGATTTATTCATGGCCAAAATGGTTGAAGTGGGATGAAAGTGGGTTCCTCCCAGCCCACTGCTGGGGAGCCCACTCTCCCTAACCCACCCTTCTTCCTGCCTGACTGAAGGAAGTTAACCAGTGTATGTCAAAGGACGAAGGGAAGTAGATCTTGACACACCTGAGTGACACACTAATAGAAGGGAAGTAGATCCTGACACACCTGAGTGACACACTAATAGAAGGGAAGTAGATCTTGACACACCTGAGTGACACTAGTAAAAGGGAAGTAGATCTTGACACACCTGAGTGACACACCGACAGAATATTTGCGCCATGATCGTGTTCGGATATTTCCTGAAACTACTGAGTAAAGTTCCGCATTTATCTTTAAGTTGAATGTAATTTTGTTGATGAGTGGGGTTTAAAGGTTATGTACTACGCGAGGGTCATTAAGACTGCGTGTCACCAGAGCCGGATTGTGGCAACGTTTCGCTCTCCAGGAGCTCTGTCAAGTCGTTACTGGAAAGCGAAACGTTGCCACAGTATCACATTAGTTACACCTGTGTCCTTTTACCTAACATATTGTCGGTAATTCTACCAATATTATTACATGGTGTATCCTCAACATCGGTTTTTGCCTCAAGATCTGATCTCGTGTCGTTCCTGTTGCAAGGATGACAGTGTCTGACCGGTCCGTGTTTCGTCCCCTTACGTACCTTCCAGCCCTCTGAAAATTTGTGCCACCTGGTCACGGACTGGACCACGGGGGCGTTGACGCCGAAACCTCTTCCAGGTATTCCGCGCATACCTAACCCTCAGCACCTGTCTCAGTGATATAACGAATTTTCCTTTCTTCGGCTGCCTATATGTCGTTGTCTCTTCTCTCTTCGGCCTCCTGAAGGATGTGGATAACGACTTCCTTCGTTCCTCCTGTTTCCTATCCCGTCAAAGTTCGTCTTATTTTTTTATTGTCTGTCTCTCTGCTTCTTCTCGTATCATCTCCTTCGCCTTCCGGTTGCACGAGAGTATTACCATTAATATCTTTGTCTTGCCTTCGTTTTATCTCCCCATTTAGTGTGTGTGTGTATGTGTGTGTGTGTGTGTGTGTGTGTGCACCCGCGCGTGCGTACAATATGTAATCCTAAACATTAGTACAACAATATGCAGTGTTACAACAACCGCTGTAATTCTTGTATTCGGAGAAAAATACAAAATTTGCTCCCACTACAACCTGTAATTTGAGTCTACCTTCCTCACAGTGATCTCAGTATTACCCAAAAGACACTGCAGTTGCACAGTCACTGCGCACACTGCAACACACACAGTGTATCGCAACCAGTGTTTCTTGTGGTTGTTCCTGTCAGACTAACGGATAGTGACAGATGCTGAACGCAAATTTAAAGTCATTTAGTAACGAGTGTGAGTAGTAATAGTAGTAGTAGTAGTAATAGTAGTTATTAGATGTCAGAGGCACTTGTTTACATAGTGTACGTGTGTGAGCGTGTGTACAAGCCTAATTGTGAGTGCTGGGGGTCGAGACTCAGCTCCTGGCCACGCCTCTTGGCTACTCACAACTGGTTTCGGTAATTCACAGTGCTGTAGGTTACGATCATACCTGTACATCAAGCTGTTTATCGGGTCTTTGGCTATCACTTCCTGGTTCAAGGAATTCTACTTTCAACCTCTCTCCTTTCCCATGCAACGTTGCGGGAAACGTTCAGAAACCTACGCTGGAAACATCGTAGGGTAATAAACGTAATAAAGTGAGCTTTTAAGACTGAAAACGTATTTCCTGACGTCCCTGTCCTGCATCTAAGTCTTAAACGTCTATTTTCTCTCTTTACTAATCATCTCTCAAACAGTTCCCATCTTCTTCCAGAAATACTCTCATATTTCAAAGACTCTCTACGCTCTATACAGTCTCCTAGTCTTTAAGACAGTCCCTATCAACCCTCTGTATTCCCCCCGTCTTTCAGCCCCACGAGCCTATTTTACCTCACTAAACTGGAAAATAACCCAAACAGAGCTCTCTGGTGCCCCGAAGCTTCTTCTATGTAGTTGTGTCTTCCATAGTCATGTTCTGCAAAGCTTTGAAGATCGCTTC